CTTTTAAAATTATTAAATTTTTATATTACTAACTTAAGAATTTATTTCATGGATATAAATTGTTAAATACAAATATAATAATTTTTCACAACAAAATTTCACATTGAATATTGAATTCAATCAACAGAATCTCGATTATCTAAATATTTTATATCCAATACATTTTATTATGACTAACATTAACTTTTTTAAATCCAATAAAATCAATCAATTCCATACATGATATTTTACACATTAAAAACGTATGCATTACAATAAATATTATATTAAAATAACTCATACCAGTTAATTCTTCTAATTCAGTTTTTCTTTCTGTAATAATTACAAAAAAAGAATCAAAACATAATCTAATTTATTAATTTTTAAGCAAAAGCACCAGGATACATAACATAAAAGCAACGTGAGATTTATTGACAATAAAACTTCTAAAAGTTAATTTTTTCTGAAAAACATCTTTTTTGGAGGATCTCGTCGCGAAATAATTAATTGTTATAACTGATCGATGAAAAGATAACACCGATATATAGGCGATATATTTTATCTTTCGAAATTAATTAATTGCCTTAATTTAAGCTCTCTTATAAAACAATCGCCGTTATCCATGAACAGTGATAGAACGTTGCTATCTGCGGATCGAAACTGCGGATAGCTTAGCGTCGGGAGCGTGACAATTTCAATGCAACAGTCGCTTCGACGAAAGAGCGACGCATTCGCATGTCCCGCGTCATCGTGGAGCATTAGAAAGCATCGGTAGATACATGTTCCTGACGCAGGCGCAATTAAGCTTCGTCCGCGGGGCGCAATGCATGCAGATATTGCACCGGTTACCGCCTCGATTGCGGAGCAATTACCATGATACTCGTTACACGCTCGACAAACAGGCACGACGCTTCCTCTACTAGCAGTTCCGTTTCTCCTCTCTTACCGCACGGGTGCGAAATTCGTGCCGCGTGTTGAAACTTCCGACCGACGACAATACTACTAACGATAAGACGTTCCGTTGCAAATAAAATTACTTACTATATACATCGGAGTCGCGACGCAAATAGAAATCTTATAGGGTCATCTTCGAACACAGAAAGAAATTTATCGATTACGCATATACCATAAATTAAAAATTTTTATTAAATATCAGTTATTTTTCAATTGTGCTGTAAAAAGGATAAAAACAATAACAATCATTTTCATAAACTAAACGAAATTAAATGTAATTTAATTAAGAATTGTATTTTAATAACTGTAATTTAAATTGTTTTCTGATTATATATTTAATTTTTAACATATTTTGTCCGTAAATGTGGTTTATAAAATGTATGCAAAGATAAAATCGGGAAATATGCAATCATAACACATATCACTTTGCTTTTTAAAATAAAAATTTCTCATATTTATACGCGATATATCTGCGGGTAAACCAGTAATTATACGAACGACACACGAAATGAGAAGAGATATTTTATGAAAACTTGGTGTAACTGTCGTTTTTTATAGAAAATTTATTTAAGTCACTTTTAGCCGATCTACCGTTTTATTATTGGTAATACTTTGCGGAAAACAATAACCGTTGTCGCAGATTAATTTTCGCAAGAACGAAAGAAAAAAATGAATAGTCGAGGAAATGGCATGACCATAGCTAACCGCAAACAATATAGAAAGAAAGAGAGAGAGGGAAGCCGAAGTAATGACGGGTTACTGACAAACGATACCACAGCGGCAATTATATCGGCGGATTCTGCGGATCCAATATTCAGCGGGATGCCTACGAAATCGTTGTGATACGGTCGTCCATCGATATTAATTGATAAAACGGATTTCGAATTACTCCCGCGGCGTCCGATGATATTTTACAACTCGCGGAAATCCAGCTCGACGAAGTATGACAGCGGACAGCGGACAGCTCGATCGCAAACGTCCGTTTGGCACGGAATAAAACGGTTTTATTAAAATCGATATACAGACTATCCGAAAACTCGCGATTCTTTAATTTTACTGACAGATCCTTTGAACAATTTAAAATTGAAATTATAATCTGACAATTTAGCATATTATATATAAATTGAACTCAATCAGCGAACTTATGTAAAAATTAAAAAAATAGCTTTATTTTATAATTTTGTGATGAATAATTCGACATCTGAATTTGTTTAGATAAATATAAATTTTAGAGAGTTTAGATTGTAATATTAATTTACATGTTATAAACTAATATAAACTATATTTTTAATAAGATAAATACTTCTGTTGTACTTTGATAATATTTGTATTAATATTTTGTATTATTTTTATTTTTGTTTGTAAATCTGCAAAAAAAAGAAAAATTAATTGTAATTTTTGTTTGCTTGAATAATAACAATATTGTTGCCTATTTCTGTTGACTTACATTCTTTGTAAAATATGGTAAAATAATTGGACATATATCTTTTTAAATGAAATAAATTTTTATAAATATTCAACAATAATAGAAATAAAAAGAAAGATACGTGTATGTTAAAAAAAGATTCATGATAATGGAATCAATAATTACACTAACATACACACTTATTTCCAGCTATATATAATTGCTTGAAGTAATTGCTTGAATAAACTGTCACTCCTATCATAGACGATGCGTGACATATAGACCGTGGATTCAAGGAAAACTCGATTTAATTTCTAATTGCATAAAGACCGAGTTCGTCGAGGCGGAAGAATGATCATTCATTAAGACGACGGTGCTGTAAAGTCCGTTTCCGGACAATATGCTGGATAATTTGCCCTTCTCAGTAATTGCAACGCATTCGCGCGTTACTGTGTACTCGATAACCCTAACGAGATTGTCGTAGATTCACGCACATTGTGCCTAAGCAAATTGATTGACAAATATTTGACGAGACCCGTCCACAAATCGGCCGATTCAATTGTGGTACACATGCAAAACAACTCAAAGTTTTAGAGAACTTATTTTTTTTGCAATTAAATAGCTTCGATAGTATGAAATACGTCCATTGATTTATAACAAAAGAATGCATTATTTTACATTTTAAATTTTATATTGTTACCTTAAGCATGAAGAGAAAATTTACAAAAATTTTCTTAAATACAATATAATTAGTATGATAGAAGAAAAATTTTTCTGTCAAAACATTTCTTGATATTCTGCAATCTAAATGATAGAAATAATAAAGACAATTTTAGACAAATGAACATTTAAAAGATTTTTGCGCTCAAAAATGCAAATAGTTTACAATAATCTTTAGAAAAATTTGAAAATAACATTTGAGAATTTAATTAAACGAAAATTTAAATATGTAGAAATGTTAAAGCAAGAAAATTGGATTATTTGCAATATTAATTAATCAAACAAGATTTATTCGGAAGAAAATTATGTTTATGGGCTGTGAACATTTATCTTAATTAAAAATTATTAATCTAATCAGCTCTAATTGTAAACTAAGGATTGAAACTGAGATCACAGATTGTTAGAACTAAGGTCATACTGAATCGGGTTTATGTCAAAGGGCTATACTGTTGTATGAAGAGACAAGACGTGACAACCGTATTTTCTGTAACCACAAATCAATAACACTGTTCGTACGTACTATCAGTGTGATATTATAAAACATGTTACATTATAAAATTCAATTTTAGATAAATTATTAGATAATTCTAAGATACTAAAATAATGTAAAGATACTAAAGAAATGTCCACGAACAAATGAAAATATACACATCAGAAGAGAAATCGCGCAAATAAATTAAGTTTTGTGATACAAAATTTATTAAAAAATATTTTTTATACGCCGTATTTTTTATATTTATTTCTGTCTGAATTAAATTTTTTAGTACTATCGAGATTTTGTATAAAAATAACTTACAAACATAATTTGAAATTAAGTTTTGAAAAATAATACTAAAATTTAAAAAATATGAAACTCTAACAAATATTAATTTATCGTTAAAGAAGCCAATTATAATATTTACTGTACTTTTGAAAATATTTTCTTTTATTATTCTATATGACCACATAAATATATAACATGATTATTATAAATATAATTTTATTTATAATTGATTTATCGAGAAAGAAATAAGTGTACTTCTGTTTTCTTAATCCATTATCTATCCTTTGTATTCTTATGAGACATTTACATTTATGCGAAAACTGATATAGTACAGTACTATTAGTTACACAGTTGAGTATCCGCGCATTCCTGCGGTGCCAGCGACGTAACCGGATTATGTGGCATGCATAGGTGAATTAGCAGGCAAATGTTCGGTAAATTCGTTTGTTGGCCGATCGATATGTCGTGGTATCGGTATCCGGCAAATTCGATTGTCCGAATAACAACTGAGATGCTCCATTAGAGTAAAACAGCAATACCACACAAATAGAATAGTATAACATTATAATTTTTTAGCCAAGAAATTTAATGAGTGCAATTAAAAATCAAATAAGTAGAATGGAATTCATAGTATATATACACACAGTATATATTTCACAGTATATATTTAAGTTTTCTATTATTTTTATCTTAATTTTTATATATATTTTTTAATTGTGTTCACATTACAAGTTATTTCCAACTTAGTTATGTTTATTATGTTAATTATTTATTAATAAAAAAATTATAATTTAAAGAATTCAATTTAACATAAAGAATACTGTTACGATTGAAAAAAATTATTTTCAATTTATTCGAATATCTCAATCAATAACGTCACATTTTGTAATTTAAGTTTTAAACCAAATAGGGCGGAGAATTACTTATCTCGTTTAAATAACATTTATCTCGCTCAACTTTACTTGAAATAAAGTGAAACAACGTCGCGAACCAGCACGTTTTCCTCGCAGGCACGACAGACAGACGTAAGAAATGATCAGGCGCGAAGCGTTTTAGCGCTAGCACTGTTCAAAGTTACGATGAAGCTCACGTACTGCTTGAATGCGTTCTCTCGTTCGTCCGTACATCAAAAGTTCGACCCCGAAGATCCATTAAACTTTATCTCGCTACTTGACTCACCGTTTCGCAAAGTTGGCTAAAGAAATTCCGCGGAGAGTCCCTCACTTCCTTTTTTCCGCCTTTTTCGTCCTTAGTTCAGCGCACCGCGTAACACATGAGACTGCTTCGCATCTGCAGCACGTCCACTAGCGCACTGAATGAATCCTGAGAGGCCGACAAGGAGAATATGAACTCATAAAACAACCGGCTTTTAATATTCGCGGCCAGCCTTAATTGGCCGATTTCGTTTTATAATTCCGATCTTCCCGAGCGCCGGGCGGTTCGCTGCGATCCCGGTAGATCGAGTGTCGCGCACCACAATACCGGTTTCGTGAAAGTGGATTACGCACGTGGAAGTGAAATTACAACTGCCTCGAAAAGAGGAAGGTTTGACATTTAATGCAAGTTACAGGAGCACGGACTCTTGACGCGAATTTGAAAAATGGGGAACGAGTCGCTTTAAAACAATAATTACTTTAAGTTGCTTTCAATTTTATAATACTGTTCCTAAATAAAATATATTTTAATACCGAAAAAGAAATATTTCCTTTGATTTTTGTTGATTACAAAAAAAAATTTAACTCAATCTTATGGCACTAGATTTACCGCTAAAATTATTTACTAGGTGCCGTACTGAATTGTTGCATATATCATACCAAGTGAGTGTAGTATGCTAATTGAAATGTTTGATTCATGTTTCATGTAGCTAAAATAAATCCGATGGTCGAAAATATATTGCTATATATATATATATATATATATATATATATATATATATTTTGTAGCTAATTGAAATTAATAACCGCTTTGATTAAAATAATAAAAAATATCTTTGAAATAAAAAATCATAAACATATTTAAAACTAAAAATTAAAGCATTGACATATATTTTAATCTTTACAAAATATATTAATAATTTATGCGATATATGAGTTCTGTGATATGAAAAAAATATTTATAATATTTAAGAATTATTCTTGTTTGTATACTTTACTCGCATCTTTCAAACGAGAATTTGAAAGGGAGGTGACAGATAAAATACCAGTTATTAAATGTTAGTTAAATAGTAGATATCGCGAAACTTTTGCGAGGATACTATCTCCTGATGAACATTTTAAGCGAGCGACGTTCTTAAAGGTGAACGTTAGAACTGGTAGTGGAACGCAAATTAGAAACGGAATGCCTGTAATAGCAACAGCTTCAAGTACGTGGATTGTTACGAAACTGTCAATTTGTTGATCAAAACATTTCGCATTTCAATTTGGTTTTATTTATATAAAGCAAATTTTACAGACTTTAGGAAATTGCATTTTAATGTTGTGCTCGAAATTTACGTGATTACATTAAATTGTTTAAAGCAGTATATGGTGATGTATTTTCCGCATTTTCTGATCAAAGCCTCTAAAAGCCTGTTTTTATGCATGCAAAATTTAAAAAATATATATCAGTAAAATAATACACTAAACTACACTGGATAAAAAGTTGCGTATGAATAGTAATTCAATCACAATTACAAAATTTTCTTTACATGCTTTCTTTTTAAAATCTTTATTAGTTTCAAAATATTATCTAACTTATACGTATATAATAAAAAAATAAAGATAATCACGTCAATAATTACATTAAAGTTGTATTATAAAATACAATTTTGTTACATATGTAAAACAAGAAACAAGTTATCTTTTATCGTATTTAACACTGATAATCTTCGAGAATATCTTTTCGATATTTTTTTGATAATTTTGTGGCAAGTTTCTTGAGCAACTTCTGATAATTAGCCAATGAGTAATATAACTGATGAAATAATTTGTAGATTGTGAGTCAGATTTTTATATAATATATTTTATATAATATTTTTTATATAATATTTTATATAATATTTATTTTATATAATATTTTTTTATATAATATTACTTTCTGTAACGATTTTAAAAATCCTACCAAAAATAATTATTTAGATTGATACAAATTGCGAGTTTAACATAAAGCTTAAAATATACTAAACTATAACGAAAGAATATGATCTTTTGTTTTCAGAATCAAACACAGTGATGACTGATATGCACAATCATTTTAGCAAATTTATTGATACTCAAAACATATTGTAGATATTTATATATATTTGCACATTATATACATCTAAACATATTATATACATCTAAATATATCTTTATCATAGAAATAATTTAATGAAAAGTAGAAATATAATTTAATAAGAGGAAGTATTGAAAGAATAAAAGAAGTAACAAAAAATGAAATCCATATACAAATAAAACAAAATAGTGAAATCTAAAACTTATTTTGTATTTAAATTCTTTAATTAAAAAAATATGTAAATGCATGAACGTATCTTCTGAAAACATGAAATTAATCTATAATTTTACGAAAATGTATATACTTTCAGGAACCAAATTATTTTTGCGAATTTAATCTATTATTTATTATTAAAAATGTAAATATTTAAGAAATATCCGTTTTTTATTACATAATGTTAATGTAATAATCAAATAATTTATCTTAAAAAACTGTAAGCTTTTGTAAATATATTCAAAGTTTCAACCAAAAAATCAGAAAAATACATCACTATGCAGCAAGAATTCTTTATAATTATAATATTGGATAAATAAATATAATATTATATTTAGTCAATATCATAATAAATAAAAGGTATATTATAATACAGATATTGTATGAATTATTGTATGAATTATTTATTAAAATGCACTTTGAGAGCAGTTACTTGATATCTAACAAGAGACTGGCCATATTTTTCACGTCAAGTGTTCGTGCCAGTGTCTTCTTTCCAATTTTGGAACAGTAATATATTATTTTTTTATATATTGCAAAGATTTTTTAGAATATTGCAAAGAAAATTTATTATATACTTATATGTATTTTAAACTTCCGCAAGACTTGCATGCTTATTTATTTTTTTCTATAAAAAGTTTATAATTTCTCAATTTAATTTCTCAAAATTGACTCATCCTATTTTTTATTTCAATTTCAAAAGCGATATAAATTAGTATTTTATCAAATTCATCAGCAAAAGTTTTCTTCCTACAGAACGATCACGCTCCGTTGCTCAATGACAATAACATGTAGATAGTCCCTAATTCCCGCTTCACATACATACGGCAACACGATCCAATATACAGTGATCGATCATCTATGGCCAATCAGACCCTATGTACAACCCGGGTGCGGCCAAACAAATTATTTCCTCCCGATTAGTTCAACGATGCGGTAACATAACACACGGACAAACCTAATACAGTCAGTTATCGAATTAAATTGCACGCTCATGTGATGCATCGACGTTTTGTAGATTTCACATTTGCATTCGCACTTACTTTTCTCTTGACCGCAATATTCACATGGAGAGAGTATTTATTAGAGAGTGAATTAAATGGAGCAACAATTTTTTTCAATGCCATGATATACATTATATACATGCATTGAGGATAATTTTATATTAAATTTATAGATATTTATATATTTATATATAAAAAAGTGCATAATAAGTACATAGGATTATTACAAATGAACTACAAATTGTAAAAATATTCTAAATTTCATATTCATATGATAGACATTCTTTAATTTTAATTTGCAGAAAGAAAGTTTAAATAAGATTTTTAAACAAAATTGTTTACGTATATTTTTAAATTTTAATATTACATATTACATTAATATTACATATTCAATTAAAATTTAATTAAGAAGAAGAAAAAATTTAATTAAGATTGAGAATAAAACTTGAGATTAGAAAATAATATTTTGTTGTCAAATCATTTCTTCAGTCTTCATTTTTTTATCATTCATTTTTATTATTAAAAAAAATTATTAATTTTTATATATGAAAAAATTTTACTATATGATTTAGAAACAAAAATTTTTAAACAAACGGACTACTTAGGAATTTGATTCAAGCCTCTAGACAATTTGCTCTGCCTAATTATTTATATATTTCCGACTTTATTAATGCAATATAATGATAAATACATTTAACGCATATAATGATAAATACATTTAGATATTCATTTCAACATTGTTACCGGGAGCAATTTGAGGCAGTTGCCATGAATTTCAATCCACGTTGATATTGATTAAACACAAGAGCGAGTATCGAAGCCGGCGTGCGAGTGTCGGCGGCGCGAATAAAGCAGCTGTATGAATTAATCACACTAAAATCTTACGGGAAATTCCCGTTTGTGATTTTGCTAAAACGGCACGCGCTAAGTTTGATTTCGTTACACGCCGCGACAACGTTTACGTACTCGATACTATTTATTCCGGCTCACACGTTCCCGTTCCCACGAGTATCGAGCGAGTTACATCCGTTCTAAGATGAAAGAAAAAAAAAAAAGGAGAAACAATGAGACGTAGAATCTGGCACGGCGATTTGCCAGGTGGCACGCGAACAATCCGGACGGATAGACAGACGATCTACCGAAGAAGCCCCCAGCCCCGCTGTACCAGATGGAGGTCTACCGAGACACTGGCGACTTCTCTCGTTACCAGGACATTCGCCAAGTCCTCTCGCAGGTTGAAATCAGAGAGAGAGAGAGAGAGAGAGAGAGAGAGAGAGAGAGAGAGAGAGAGAGAA